GTGGATTTTTTAAAGAATATTTTTTGAATGCCTATATCAGAGGCGTGGATTTTTTAAAGAATATTTTTTGAAAGCCTATATCAGAGGCGTGGATTTTTTAAAGAATATTTTTTGAAAGCCTATATCAGAGGCGTGGATTTTTTAAAGAATATTTTTTGAAAGCCTATATCAGAGGCGTGGATTTTTTAAAGAATATTTTTTGAAAGCCTATATCAGAGGCGTGGATTTTTTAAAGAATATTTTTTGAAAGCCTATATCAGAGGCGTGGATTTTTTAAAGAATATTTTTTGAAAGCCTATATCAGAGGCGTGGATTTTTTAAAGAATATTTTTTGAAAGCCTATATCAGAGGCGTGGATTTTTTAAAGAATATTTTTTGAAAGCCTATATCAGAGGCGTGGATTTTTTAAAGAATATTTTTTGAAAGCCTATATCAGAGGCGTGGATTTTTTAAAGAATATTTTTTGAAAGCCTATATCAGAGGCGTGGATTTTTTAAAGAATATTTTTTGAAAGCCTATATCAGAGGCGTGGATTTTTTAAAGAATATTTTTTGAAAGCCTATATCAGAGGCGTGGATTTTTTAAAGAATATTTTTTGAAAGCCTATATCAGAGGCGTGGATTTTTTAAAGAATATTTTTTGAAAGCCTATATCAGAGGCGTGGATTTTTTAAAGAATATTTTTTGAAAGCCTATATCAGAGGCGTGGATTTTTTAAAGAATATTTTTTGAAAGCCTATATCAGAGGCGTGGATTTTTTAAAGAATATTTTTTGAAAGCCTATATCAGAGGCGTGGATTTTTTAAAGAATATTTTTTGAAAGCCTATATCAGAGGCGTGGATTTTTTAAAGAATATTTTTTGAAAGCCTATATCAGAGGCGTGGATTTTTTAAAGAATATTTTTTGAAAGCCTATATCAGAGGCGTGGATTTTTTAAAGAATATTTTTTGAAAGCCTATATCAGAGGCGTGGATTTTTTAAAGAATATTTTTTGAAAGCCTATATCAGAGGCGTGGATTTTTTAAAGAATATTTTTGAGAGGCCCCAATTTGTTAACGATCAACTTCAGGGTCTTTCAAAGGCGTGGATTTTTAAAAGAATATATTTTTCGGGGTGTTTCAGAGACGTGGATTTTTTAAGAATATATTTTTCCGGGTCTTTCAGAGGCGTGGTTTTTTGAGAATAAATGTTTCAGGACCTTTCGCAGGTGTGGAATTTTTAATGAATATTTTTAAGGGTCGTGGATTTTTAAGAATATTTTTTCGTCCTTTCAGAGGCGTGGATTTTTTAAAGTATATTTTTAAGGGTCTTTCAGAGGCGTGGATTTTTAAGAATATTTTTTCGTCCTTTCAGAGGCGTGGATTTTTTAAAGTATATTTTTTGAGGTTTTTCAGAGGCGTGGATTTTTTAAAGTATATTTTTTTGAGGTTTTTCAGAGGCGTGGATTTTTTAAAGACTATTTTTATGGTCTTTTAGAGACGTAAATTTTTTAAAGAATATAAATATATTCTTTAAAAAATTTACGATTTCAGGTTCTTTCAGATGCGTGCAATAATATTTTTTCAATATTTTTCTCCGAGGGTATGCATCAAATATTTGCCATTTTTTTTTTGTTATCCTTTCCTGTTAGTGCCTTGGTGCATATTTTCACGAATTCCTTAATGGGTGACTGTGTGGTGACGATGATGATTTCTCATCGCCACTGTTGGTGGATGATTCCGTTTGTGGTTGGTTGTTGTAAAAAACAATTTCTTACAGAGTCTTGGGTAGTGAATTAAATTCTCCACATTTGTGTGGGTCGTCGAAGGAGTTTTGTTTTATGTAAAAGTCCCAAGAAGAAGAAGCAGCTAGTATTGACATCCTTCTTCAAGTCCAAACACTTGTTGGAATTGGTTTCACGCTAACACATTGAAGGTGTATGTCAGTGTGTGTGTGTGCGTGGTATGTCCTGGATCCTAGTATTGTTGTTGCTGCTGGTGTTCTTGTGATTGAATGAATGAATAAAAAACAAAACAACAAAAAATAAATTGGAATTGAAAGTACAACACCACAAATATTTCGTTCATTTGCTGATGCTGCCACAGCTACCACTACTGTTGGTGTCATGCTCCTCTATGTTTTGTTGTTGGTTATTTCTATGGTGTCAGTGGCTGCCACCAAATGATGATGTCGACGTGGATGATTTCTATTCTCAGCTGCCTTCAGACGCATCCCAATATTAACTTAGCAATGATACGCATAGCACATATTTTTATGTACTATGTATTCACACTTGTACCCCGTTGCATCTCACCCTGCCCTTCTTTGTTGGTCCACCTTCCCCCCTCCAAAACATGCAAACATCTCAACGATTTGGAATGATGACGAGGAAGAAGAAGATAATAAAACCCCAAACGCAAGGATACCGAGTTAACTTTTTAAGGACATCTCAAAGCATTGATCAGTTGAGTTTCAACCGCGTTTGTTAACGGTTATCGGGTCCAAGGCATCAGCCAGACAGCCAAAGGATATATAATAAAAAATAAATATATAGTCTAATTAAAAAAAAAATAGTGAAATTGTGAAATTCAATTTGGAAATCATATCAGTGGAGTGTAAGAAAAAATTAAAATAATAAAAATTAAAAATTTATATTAGAAATTATTAAAAAGTGGCGCCCAATTTAAAAAAAAAATTAAAAAATACAAAAAAATTAAGAAAAAAAATAACAAATAATTCTGAGAAAATAGTGGGAGAATATTTTTATAAAAAAAATAATAATATAAAATTAAAAAAAAATAATTTGAAAAAAATTTAAAAGTGAAAAACTCGATTTTTTATTTTCTGTGAAAAAATCCACACCTCAGAAAGACACTGAAAAATATTCTTTAAAAAATCCACGCCTAAGATAGACCCTGAAAAATATTCTTTAACAAATCCACAGACCCTGAAAAATATTCTTTAAAAAATCCACGCCTCAGACAGAGCCTGAAAAATATTCTGTAAAAAATCCACACCTCAGAGAGACCCTGAAAAATATTCTGTAAAAAATCCACACCTCAGAAAGACCCTGAAAAATATTCTTTAAAAAATTCACGACTCAGACAGAGCCTGACAAATATTCTGTAAAAAATCCACACCTCAGAAAGACCCTGAAAAATATTCTTTAAAAAATCCACGCCTAAGATAGACCCTGAAAAATATTCTTTAAAAAATCCACGCCTAAGATAGACCCTGAAAAATATTTTTTAAAAAATCCACGCCTAAGATAGACCCTGAAAAATATTCTGTAAAAAATCCACGCCTAAGATAGACCCTGAAAAATATTCTTTAAAAAATCCACACCTCAGAAAGACCCTGAAAAATATTCTTTAAAAAATCCACACCTCAGAAAGACCCTGAAAAATATTCTTTAAAAAATCCACACCTCAGAAAGACCCTGAAAAATATTCTTTAAAAAATCCACGCTTAAGATAGACCCTGAAAAATATTCTTTAAAAAAATCCACACCTCAGAAAGACCCTGAAAAATATTCTTTTAAAAATCCACGCCTAAGATAGACCCTGAAAAATATTCTTTAAAAAAATCCACACCTCAGGAAGACCCTGAAAAATATTCTGTAAAAAATCCACACCTCAGAAAGACCCTGAAAAATATTCTTTAAAAAATCCACACCTCAGAAAGACCCTGAAAAATATTCTTTAAAAAATCCACGCCTAAGATAGACCCCGAAAAATATTCTTTAAAAAAATCCACACCTCAGAAAGACCCTGAAAAATATTCTTTAAAAATCCACGCCTCAGACAGAGCCTGAAAAATATTCTTTAAAAAATCCACGCCTCAGACAGAGCCTGAAAAATATTCTTTAAAAAATCCACGCCTCAGACAGAGCCAGAAAAATATTCTTTAAAAAATCCACGCCTCAGACAGAGCCTGAAATATATTTTTTAAAAAATCCACGCCTCAGATAGACCCTGAAAAATATTCTTTTAAAAAATCCAAACCTCAGAAAGACCCTGAAAAATATTCTGGGAAAAAAATCCACACCTCAGAAAGACCCTGAAAAATATTCTTTAAAAAAATCCACACCTCAGAAAGACCCTGAAAAATATTCTTTAAATAAATCCACACTCAGAAAGACCCTGAAAAATATTCTTTAAATAAATACACACCTCATAAAGAACCTGAAAAATATTCTTTAAAAAATCCACACCTCAGAAAGACCCTAAAAATTTTTCTTTAAAAAATCCACGCCTAAGATAGACCCTGAAAAATATTCTTTAAAAAATCCACACCTCAGAAAGACCCTGAAAAATATTCTTTAAAAATCCACACCTATGAAAGACCCTGAAAAATATTCTTTAAAAAAATCCACACCTCAGAAAGGCCCTGAAAAATATTCTTTAAAACATCTACGCCTAAGATAGACCCTGAAAAATATTCTTTAAAAAATCCACGCCTAAGATAGACCCTGAAAAATATTCTTTAAAACATCTACGCCTAAGATAGACCCTGAAAAATATTCTTTAAAAAATCCACGCCTAAGATAGACCCTGAAAAATATTATTTAAAAAAATCCACACCTCAGAAAGACCCTGAAAATTTTTCTTTACACTTCTACGCCTAAGATAGACCCTGAAAATATTCTTTAAAAAATTCACGCCTAAAATATTCTTTAAAAAGTCCACGCCTCAGACGGACCCCGAAAAAATATTATTGAAAAATCCCCGCTTTAGACAGACCCTGAAATAATATTCCTTAAAAATGTTCTTTAAAATATCCACGACTCAGACAGAGCCTGAATAATTATTCTTTAAAAAATGCCTGCCCTTAAAAAATATTCTTAAAGAAATCCAAGACTAGGATTGCCCCGAAAAAATATTCTTTGAGAAATCCACGGATTTGTTAGGCCCTGAAAATATTCTTTAACAAATAACTCCCCAGATAATCCTGGAAAAAAATGTTTTTATTGTCCTGATTCCAAAATTTTTATCCCACCCTTTTTCAGAATCGCCTAAACAATGGATAGCAATGAGTTTCGTAAACGAGGTGCCGAAATGGTGGAATACATTTGCCAATATCTGGAGACATTGAATGAGCGGCGGGTTACACCCAGTGTGGAACCGGGTTATCTGCGACATTTATTACCGGGTAAGTTACGAAGAAAAATATATCCACTATTAGTAGCTATCAATAAAATCCCTCTCAGCTGAGGCCCCCTATGAACCCGAGGATTGGGATAAAATCATGAACGATGTTGAGGACAAGATAATGCCGGGTGTAACACATTGGCAGCATCCCCGGTTTCATGCCTATTTTCCGGCGGGAAATTCATTTCCTTCAATTTTGGGTGATATGCTGGGCGATGGCATTGGCTGCATCGGCTTCTCATGGGCCGCAAGTCCGGCTTGTACCGAACTGGAGACAATTGTATTGGATTGGTTGGGTAAGGCAATCGGCTTGCCAGATCATTTTTTGGCCCTGAAGGAGGGTAGTACGGGTGGTGGTGTAATACAGGTGAGATTGTGGCGATCGCGATTTATCGGAAATACAAATTTAATGGGTGGTTTTCGTTTTTAGACCTCTGCCTCGGAATGTATTCTGGTATCGTTGTTGGCGGCCCGTGCCCAGGCCATTAAACGTTTAAAATCTCAACATCCCTTTGTCGAGGAATGCCTTTTGCTGTCGAAGTTGATGGCCTATTGTTCGAAGGAGGCCCATAGCTGTGTGGAGAAGGCTGCCATGATTTCATTTGTGAAACTGCGAATTTTGGAACCCGATGAGAATGCCAGTCTGAGGGGTGAAACATTGAGACAGGTAAAAAATCAACGTCTTGCATTTTTTTTTTTAAATACATGTCTTGAAAATTTAAAAAAAAAAAATCCAAGTCCAAAAAAATATCCTTAAAAAATCCATGCCTATATAAATCCTTCATTTTTTAATTCCATGCCTATATAAAAAAAATATATTTTCCCCTTTCAGGCCATGGAAGAAGATGAACTGCAAGGCTTTGTGCCATTTTTCGTCTCCACCACTCTGGGCACAACCGGTTCGTGTGCCTTCGATAATCTCTATGAAATTGGCCAAGAATTGAAAAATTTCCCCGGAGTTTGGCTGCATGTGGATGCTGCCTATGCGGGAAATTCTTTTATATGTCCAGAATTGAAACCCCTACTCAAGGTGAGTAAGAGAGCCGACATGAAACAAAAAAAATCCCACCAAGGAAATTCCAAAAATTCTCCAACTTCTTAGAAGTGTGAAAATATTCTGCAAACCACCCCCCAAAAAATATTTGGTGTGAATTTTTTGTCTTTATCACTTTTTGTTGTTGTTGTTCTCATTCCAGGGTATTGAATTTGCCGACTCATTCAATACGAATCCCAACAAATGGCTTCTGACCAATTTCGATTGTTCAACGCTGTGGGTAAGAGATCGTATCCGCTTGACATCGGCCCTGGTTGTGGATCCGCTGTATCTCAAGCATGGCTATTCGGATGCTGCCATCGATTATCGTCATTGGGGAGTACCACTTAGTCGGCGATTTCGTTCACTGAAATTGTGGTATGTACAAAGAAGTGGGGTATGGAGGAGGTGGCTGAGGCAGCGACGCCTCCCGAATTTGAATGGTCTTCTTTTGACGTTTTGTTTACCTAAACAATTTTGAAATTGTTGTTTTGAACAGCTTTGGTTGTTTACAAAACGTTTTTATTTTGTTTTTACGTTATTGCCAAAAAAACCGACTCGAACCAAAAAAATCCGCATCTAAAAATCCCAAAGGTGTTATTATTTTTGAATTCCCAAAATTTTGTTGCTCCATAGTTGTCAGCAGCAACAGTAAATTGATTGTCGTTTAGGTCTACAATTTTTTTTAATTTTTTTATTTATTTTTTTATTTTTCGGTCTGCCGACATGCCCACCTACCTGTCACCCCATTCCATGATAAATGATCATAATTCTAATTTTAATAATTTTTTGTGTCCTCTCTCTCTCCCTATTTTTTTCTTCTTCTCACCTACAGGTTTGTGTTACGCTCATATGGAATTTCCGGATTACAGAAATACATTCGCCATCATATCGAGCTGGCCAAGCGCTTCGAACAACATGTCCTCAAAGATAAGCGCTTTGAGGTGTGCAATCAAGTTAAGGTGAGTGGAAATTGGAAATTAGAGGGAATATTTTTGATGTAACCTTAATTCATAGAAAATAAATAGGACCAGAGGTCTCGCCTCAAGACAATATAGCACAAAAAAATAAACCCCCTTGAAAAAATATTTTATAAAAAATGCAGGCCTATCGACGACCTACATTTTGAAAACAAGTCTTCCACTTGAAAAAATCCAAGGCTTTGAAAAGAAAATATTTGTAAACAATCTACGCGTTTGAAAAAATATTCTTTAAAAAATCAACGCCTTAGACATGCCTTGAAAAAATATTCTTTAAAAAATCAACGCCTTAGACATGCCTTGAAAAAATATTCTCCACCTCCACGCCTCTTGTAGAGGCTTTTGAGTTGTTTGCTCAGACCATAGTAGCACCGGTTGGCCATCACTATCCTTCTCCGAATTTCAAAACTGATGTCATTCGTTTTGTTTATGGCGGTACCAAGGTATATCAAATCTTTGATTACCTCGAAGCTGTAGTTCTCAAGTTCCACAGTTGGTCCGAGTCTACTGGACGTCTTGCGCGTTGATACCAGCAGCTTGGTCTTCCTGCTGTTTACTGTCAGACCCACTTTGGCAGACTCCTTCTCAATTTTTTCAAAGGTGACTGTTACCGCTCACAATGTTCGATCCATTATATCGATGTCATCGGTGTTGTTTGGTGTGCAGAGTGCCATTTCTGTTCACTTTTGCCACTCGTATGACCTTTTCCAGCAGGATGTTAAAAAGATCACACGACAAACTGTCACCTTGTCTGAATCCTCGTTCGGTGTTGAAGGGCTCCGATGGGTCCTTTCCGACTTAACCTGCTGATCTTGTGCCAGTTAAAGTTATCCTCCATAGCCGTATTAATTTTGCAGGAATGCCAAACGCAGACATGGCTTTATATACCTCTGAACGGATAGGGTTGTCGAATGCGGCTTTATAGTCGACGAATAGGTGGAATGTGTCGATGTGTTTTTCTTGGGTTTTTTCCAGGATTTGGCGCAGAGTAAAAATCTGGTCAATGGTGGATTTGTCAGGTCTGAAGCCGCATTGGTATGGTCCAATAATGTCATTGACCATTGGCTTCAATCGTTCACACAGCACACTGGATAGCACGTATTCCTCTATAGTTGGCACATATCGTCTTGTCTCCTTTTTTTGTGCACGGGATCCGGGATGTTGAGGTTCCAATCATTGGGCATGCATTCTTCTAGCCAAATTGTACTAATCAGCTGGTGCATGCTCCTTATCCTTATCAGCATCAAACCACCAGTCTTGAATTGTTCGGCTTGTAACCCATCGGCTTGTAACCTGCTGCTTTATTATTCTTTAGCCGATTGATTGCTATTCTGACTTCATCTTGGTTAGGTCAATCATCTAGTCATCTATTATTGGTTCTGGGCTATCCTCTTCAGCGCTACAATTTGATACCAAAAGCTTTTCAAAATGCTCCTTTCAGATCCTCAGCATGCTGTATGTATCTGTCACCAGGTTTCCTTCTTCATCTCTACAGGAGGATGTACCTGCACCAAAGCCTTCGGTTTGGTGTTTTACCCGTTGGTAGAATTTTCGGACTTCATTCTGACTCCTGTACATCTCGATTTGCTCACGCTTACGTTTTTCTTGCTCTTTCTTCTTTTTTTTTTGAAAATACGTTTCTCCTCTCTCCTTTTCTCCCGATAGTTCTCTATCGCATTACGTGTTGCTACTGTCCGCAGGGTTGCCCTATACGCTGCGTTTTTCATATCAGTAGCATTACAACACTCCTGATCGTACCACGGATTTCTTGATTGTGGTCTTTCACTATTTCATCGGGTGATGAAAATAGGGAGGTCAGTGTCCATAATTGAGATGAAAGAGGGACCAAGATAAGCCTGGACCTCGCCATGTTATAGTCAATCAGAGCCGTTGCTTGGTATCTATCATCCCCTACGTCACCCCATGTCTCTTTTGGCCCTTGAAAAAATATTCTTTAAAAAAAATCCACGCCTCAGACATGCCTTGAAAAAATATATTTTAAAAAATGTACGACTATCGTAGTCCTTGAAAAGATATTTTTTAAAAAATTACTTCCATTGAAGTCCTAAAAAATTCGTCCTTGAAAAGATATTTTTTAAAAAATTACTTCCATTGAAGTCCTAAAAAATTCGGAAACCTCAGCTTTTGAGTAATTTTTTTCGTATGGAACAAAAATTAGTGTTCCTCAGCTTCTGAGGCATTGCAATTGCTCATTAACTTTCATTCAAATAAAAATTTCAAAAATTTTGAAAAACAAAATTCGCCGCAATGGTGGGCGTTTTATTTGTTTTCTTGCGAACTGACAGATTGTTGTCTGGCTGCTTCGTCTGAGTGAAATTGATTTCTCAAATATTATCTTTTTTTCAAGAAATTTTGAAAACATAATTTTATTTTGAAAAATACATACTACCACCACCAACGCCAAAACACCTAAACGTATCTTCTCAGCAGTAACGCCGCATAGTCTGCTCCGGCTGCACAGCCCTGACAGATACCAGTGGTGGGGCACTGTCATCAAAAAAATAAAAAAGGAAATCAACCAACCATTACCTCTCAAGTGTTTTGGCCTTTCCAATATTAGTTGTAATTGATTTGTTGGTGGGATTTGTAGACAAGTCAAAATTTTTTCTCTTCTTCTTCTTTGACTACTTCTTATCATGCATACATACTACTTACATATGTCATAGTCATGTATGACAAACAATAAGCTTCGATTTTGATGGTAGGTAATGTGACGGTATTTTGATATTGGAAAAAAATTGGCTTCTCAGCTACGGAGTTATTTTTTCGTATAGAAACAAATCTGGATGTCAGCTTCTGAAACATTTTTTCTCATAGAAAAAATTAGGGATTCTGAGTCATTGTTCCCTTTAGAAAAAATTAAGACATCGGAATTAGAAACCTCCGAATTTTTATATATTAAACATTATGGTCTCAGCTTCGATGCCTTTTTTTCTATACAAACAAATTTTGAGGCTTCAGCTTCTGTGATATTTTATTCTGTTGAATTGCGGTATTTTATTTTTTGTTGCTTATTGACATGTCATGCTAGCTTCCGAAAAAAAAAATCAAAACTGGTTGAGGTACTTGAGAGTGATCATGCGAAGTGTAAAGCGAACATGTGCGTTAACCACCAATTCATTAAAACTTCATTAAAGACATTTGTAAAAGACAAAACCATACCGAACATATGCCTCCGTTGCTGCCTTCAAACAGCCTTGAGCTATGACAAATCGAGTCAACAGCATCGTAGATCTGTCCATTCACGCACTAAGTGCCTGTTTCTTGATATTTCGTTTAACCTGAGGCCACTTTCTTGTATGACATGCAGATTGTTTAATTTCGAAGTCAATCCTAAGCTCAATTTAATTCAATTTACAATCAATAATTAACTCTCAATTTGATAGAAATTACAAAAAAAAAAAAAAAATAAATAAATAAAAATTGTAGTAGCCAATCGGTAACCGGATATCAGATTGGCCAAAGGCCAGTTTTCATATCAAAATCAATGTAGATGATGAAATTATTGCTACTTTGTTATGAGATCGGAATTTTTTTACGAAAAAATGCCTAAGAGAATTTGAGGACCACAATTATTTTTCTACACATAAAAATTGTTTTTAAAAATTTTTTTCAATGACTTCGATAGGCGTAGATTTTTAAATTTTTTTTTTTTTAAGAAAAATATTTTTTTCAAAGCAAACAATTTTTTTTTCAAAGAAAATGACTTCGATGGGCGATGACTCCAAAAGGCGTGGATTTTTAAAAAATATTTTTTCAAGGATTCCTAAAGGCGTGGATTTTTAACAAATATTTTTTCAAGGATTCCAAATAGCGTGGATTTTTAAAAAATATTTTTTCAACGATTCCAAAAGGCGTGGATTTTTAAAAAATATTTTTTCAAGGATTCCAAAAGGCGTTGATTTTTAAAAAATATTTTTTCAAGGATTCCAAAAGGCGTGGATTTTTAAAAAATATTTTTTCAAGGATTCCAAAAGGCGTGGATTTTTAAAAAATATTTTTCAAGGATTCCAAAAGGCTTGGATTTTTAAAAAATATTTTTTCAAGGATTCCAAAAGGCGTGGATTTTTAAAAAATATTTTTTCAAGGATTCCAAAAGGCGTGGATTTTTAAAAAATATTTTTTCAAGGATTCCAAAAGCCGTGGATTTTTAAAAAAAATATTTTTTCAAGAATTCCAAAAGGCGTAGATTTTTAAAAAATATTTTTTTGAAGGATTCCAAAAGGCGTGGATTTTGAAAAAAATATTTTTTCAAGGATTCCAAAAGCCGTGGATTTAAAAAAAAATATTTTTTCAAGGATTCCAAAAGGCGTAGATTTTTAAAAAATATTTTTTTGAAGGATTCCAAAAGGCGTGGATTTTAAAAAAAAATATTTTTTCAAGGATTCCAAAAGGCGTAGATTTTTACAAAATATTTTTTGAAGGATTCCAAAAGGCGTGGATTTTTAAAAAATATTTTTTAAGGGTTTTTGGCGTGGATTTAAAAAAAGTATTTGTTCAAAGAATTTTGATTTTTTTAAATATTTTCATAAAGGGCTTCGATAAATGCGGATTTTTTTAAAATATTTTTTTAAAGATCTTTTTGGGCGTAGAAATTAATTTTTTCATATTTTCATTTTCTTTTCCAGCTCGGTTTGGTCTGTTTCCGTCTGCACGGTTCGGATAAGCTAAATGAAAAACTGCTGAGCGCTATTAACGAATCGGGTAAATTGCATATGGTTCCGGCCTGTGTCAACGAGAAGTATATCATACGATTTTGTGCTGTGGCACAAAATGCCACCGAAGAAGATATCGATTATGCGTGGGAAACAATTGTTGACTTCGCCAATGAGCTGCTGGAGAAAGAGCAACACGACGAATTATCCGAAATTATTAATCAAAAGAAAACGCATACTCTGGAGAAGAAACGTTCGTTCTTTGTTCGTATGGTCAGTGATCCGAAAATTTATAATCCTGCAATAAATAAGGCGGGCACTCCCAAAGTATCGTTGGATATGGCATCGCCAATTGCGGCAAAGGGTAGCAATCCGGTCATACGGACACAATCATCAATCGATCACAATTCATGGATATCCTGGCCATTGGCATTCCTGTTTAATAGCAATGATGATAATGGTCAGAAGAGTAATGTTTCGTTGCGGTAAGTAAGATAGGGGCGAGGAGGAGGGGGAAGAGATTTTTTCCACAATAAAAAATATTTTTTGTTGTTTTTTTTTTTAGTTTCCGCCACCTGGACACCAATGTGCGACCATCATCATCTCGCCGCAATTCCGGTGCCGGCTCATCACCCTCACCCGAAGCCGATTACACGGCCAGTGTGGTCAATGTCATCAAATCGCCCAAGAAGTCACCGAATCTAATACGCAAAGGTCTTGCCGGTAGCAATTCTTCTACTAATTCCAATACTAATTCAAATAATCAAAAATAAATTAAAACAAAAAATTGAAATCTAGTTTTCACAGGACTCTCGGAACGGACCTGGTTGAGATAGAATTTGGCACCAGCACACACATACAAAGAATAGAAAAAAACCAAAAACAATGTTCTCTCTTTAAATTTAAACTATCTTGGCTTGAAATTACTTATAAAATAAATAATGTTAGAAAAATAAAGAAGAAAAGAAAAAAAATACACATGTATTACTACCGCTCCCCATACACCCACCTGACCTAAGAACTAAATCCCAAAAGGGATGATTTTTTGGTTATTCTTTTGAGGACGTTATTTCTGCTGCTATATTTGGCTTATCCCGCTTATGCTCAAAACTAACATGTAGTTTGAAAATCACCTCCCTCCTGGGCCTGATTTTTTCAATGCGAAAACTGAATGCCCCAAAAAATTGGCGGACTTCAGTTTTTAAGGCATTTTTTGTATTAAAAACATCGAGGCTTTAGGGGATTTCCACTATATTGATCTTCTATTGGTTGAATACATTTAAGAGGTCTCCTAGATATGACAGAGCTCTAAGGGGCCTTATATAGCTGATGGAATATTCCAAAGGGTTCTTAGGGGTCTTCTATAAATGTAATCTTTAAATCAGAGCTCCGATTTGCTCGATTTTACTCGCGAGTGAAATATACTCCCGAGTTGGAGTACGTTAAGAGTACGAGTTTTTTAAGGAGTATAATCTCTACTCTTTTATTTTGTTTGGGAGTGCTCGCGAGTGCTCCTTGTTGAAGAATAAAAGTGAGAGTCAAAATGTTGGTTTGCAAGAAAGCCCATCAATGGATAAGTATCGAAAAATTGTCGAGGGTTTCCCTTTTGAGGCTGGTTCGTCTTGCTGTCACTATTAATGCCAGCGCGCTAAATGTTCTTTCTACGACAAGTTACAAACCAAACATCACAAAACAAACCAACAAGCACACAAACAACATCAAATAAAATAACGGTATAAAAAAAAATAAATAAATAAAAATAAATAAAGAGTGGAGTCCACTCGATTTCGAGCGTATTTCACTCCCACTCGAAAACGAGCGAAGTACTTGCTCTCTAATTTAAGTGATAGAGAAAAATAGAGTATACTCTTTTTACTGTTTTTACTCGCAGGAGTACTCCCGCTCGAATTCGATCGAGTTTTACTCGAATCCGAGCGAGCATTTCGAAGCTCTGCTTTAAAGAATTTATAAAAAAGTATTAGGAAAAATATTCCTAAGAACTACAGCTTAGCTTTGACCCTTACAATTAAAAGACCCCAACACCTCCCCTATTAATTCCAAAGTTGTCAGGGTGTTAATAAACACAAAAATTTATACATTTGTATAGTACATTCGATTAGTACTTACGTATTATTTTATTGTTTACATCGAAAACGTCTTCTTTTACCTCTTGTTTTCTTCGTTTTTAGTCAGTCATTCGTTTTTATTTAAACTGTTTCATTTCCATTTTTAATTACACCAAGGAATTCTATTTTTGATGAACGAAAGAAAATTGTGTTTACCTTTTGGACGTCACCACGAAGTTGATTCTTTTTTCACTTCAACAATAGCTGCCGACGAACGCCCACTGCCACGGCTGTGTTTACATTTGACGTTAAACGTCAAACGAGTAAATATTTGAATTTTTACTATTTTGGTCAGAGAACGTCGTAATAGCCGAGGAATGTAAATGGGAACCTATTACAAAGGGTGTTCTTATTTTAGGATGTTAAAGGAGGATTTTTTAAAGGCATGTCTGAGGCGTGGATTTTTTAAAGGCATGTCTGAGGCGTGGATTTTTTAAAGGCATGTCTGAGGCGTGGATTTTTTAAAGGCATGTCTGAGGCGTGGATTTTTTTAAAGGCATGTCTGAGGCGTGGATTTTTTAAAGACTATTTTTTCAAGGCATGTCTGAGGCGTGGATTTTTTAAAGACTATTTTTTCAAGGCATGTCTGAGGCGTGGATTTTTTAAAGACTATTTTTTCAAGGCATGTCTGAGGCGTGGATTTTTTAAAGAAGATTTTTTCAAGGCATGTCTGAGGCGTGAATTTTTTAAAAAAGATTTTTTCAAGGCATGTCTGAGGCGTGGATTTTTTAAAAAAGATTTTTTCAAGGCATGTCTGATGCGTGGATTTTTTAAATAAGAATTTTTCAAGGCATGTCTGAGGCATGGATTTTTTAAAGGCATGTCTGAGGCGTGGATTTTTTAAATAAGATTTTTTCAAGGCATGTCTGAGGCGTGGATTTTTTAAAGACTATTTTTTCAAGGCATGTCTGAGGCGTGGATTTTTTAAAGACTATTTTTTCAAGGCATGTCTGAGGCGTGGATTTTTTAAATAAAATTTTTTCAAGACATGTCTGAGGCGTGGATTTTTTAAAGACTATTTTTTCAAGACATGTCTGAGGCGTGGATTTTTTAAAGACTATTTTTTCAAGACATGTCTGAGGCGTGGATTTTTTAAAGACTATTTTTTCAAGACATGTCTGAGGCGTGGATGTTTTAAAGATTATTTTTTCAAGGCATGTCTGAGGCGTGGATGTTTTAAAGATTATTTTTTCAAGGCATGTCTGAGGCGTGGATGTTTTAAAGATTATTTTTTCAAGGCATGTCTGAGGCGTGGATTTTAAAGATTATTTTTTCAAGGCATGTCTGAGGCGTGGATGTTTTAAAGATTATTTTTTCAAGGCATGTCTGAGGCGTGGATGTTTTAAAGATTATTTTTTCAAGGCATGTCTGAGGCGTGGATTTTTTATAGACTATTTTTTCAAGGCATGTCTGAGGCGTGGATGTTTTAAAGATTATTTTTTCAAGGCATGTCTGAGGCGTGGATGTTTTAAAGATTATTTTTTCAAGGCATGTCTGAGGCGTGGATGTTTTAAAGATTATTTTTTCAAGGCGTGTCTGAGGCGTGGATGTTTTAAAGATTATTTTTTCAAGGCGTGTCTGAGGCGTGGATGTTTTAAAGATTATTTTTTCAAGGCGTGTCTGAGGCGTGGATGTTTTAAAGATTATTTTTTTTTCAATTTTTGGTAAAGAACTATTTTTTCGGTTCCTCATGGACTTTGGCCATAAACAATTATCACCACTATAAACCATTGTATCTTCCAATTTTTATAGTTTGATTTACATTTTAAATGACAGCCCCGAAAACAACAACAACAATAACACTTAACACATATAATTTTTTGCCAACAACATAAAAAACAAAAAAAAGCAAATATCTGCCAAATCATTGTTAACAAACAATTTTTTTAAACATAAACATATTGTTTATGTTTATTTGTTGTTGTTTTTGTAGTGGTGGTGGTTGGCGGCTCTGTTGGCGGTAGTAAATACCACTGTCCAATCGACGGCCATTGCAAATCAATGAATGATTTTTTTGGCAAAGGGAGATGGTGAGGCAGGGCAGGGCAGTGGGGTGGAGGTGGGATTATAGTGCTCCAATCTTTAATGAATGTTTTGCCACCATGAGATTTCGTATCTCGGCCAAGTTAACACAAGATCACTTGGGGATGAGTCATCGATGACAGATAAATTTGATGATTTGCCCAGACAAGATGAACGTGAAGAAGAAACAAAGTGTGGAATTAGATAAATTGTTTCTTTTGCAAACATCAAAAGAAAGGCAGTAAGTAGAGATACCATCATTATGGCGGGGGATTTCCCTGAAAAATGGGAATATATATCATTTTTGTTGGTGTTCCCCTAAAATTCATGTCACACCTCTAATGGTGTGTTCGAATAGCTTGTTAATTAATTATTGATATAAAAGAAGGTCGTTAAGGAATGTTCACCATTAATGTTTCATATTCTAGGGGCCTGAAAATTGATTTGCCAAAATTTCCCATCTCGAATTGGTATACCTCACAAAATTACCCCCACAGTGAATAAACATCAATTGTGTTCCATGTGCGTGTGTGTGGGTGGGTGAGGAGAAACGGTTAAGGGGGACTTGATGATGATGGTGGTGGTTATCAGTCAGACCACCACCACATTTCAATTGAATTAGCCGTTTTGATTGATGTTATTTTAAATGAAATGCCATTGATTATATCTTTGATTTGATTACATACAGCGAACAACTATTAAAAAAAAAATAATTAAACATTTTGTTTATCCATGTCTTCATTTTCTCCTGATGGAGAATATTTTTTTTTATCCACGCGTTATGAATTCTGGAAAAAATATATATTTTTTAAAACCTCGCCTTGGTCCTTGAAAAATATTCTTTAAAAAAATCATCCTTTATTCTTTAAAAAATCAAAAGAAAACCATTCATCAGATAGCCCTTCAAAAATATTCTTTAAAAATCCACGCCTCAGTCCTTGAACAAATATCCTTTATTTATTATATTTTTTTTTTTTATAAAAAAAAAACATTGATGTGAATATCTTTTGTTCTCAATGGGTTAAGCCAAAAAATTGAATCCCCGATACTTCAAATTAAATGTGTCGTTAACAAATAATAAAAATACAATCAATTCTATAATTAAATAACAGTTTATTTTAGCTGGCTTTTTATTCCAAAATTTATTTCCTCATTCAATTCTTCAATTCAGTTCTCTTTACTATGAATCGTCGTTGTGGTATTCCCCCGGAACATAAAAAATAACGTCACACCAAAAAGAATGCTGCTGCTACTGCCGTGGAACGACCTGTTGTACCCCAATGGACAAGCACAACTGTCTATAAATATGACAAACGTCAAAGAGATCCACACACACAAGAAATAAAAAAAGAAATCTCCGAATTGTTGCTAGGTGATCGAACACCAAAAATTAAAAAAAAAACAACAACAAAAACGTGCCAAATCTTGATAATCATGATAAAGTGTTCCAAAAAAATCCAAGACGTATTTCACCAAAAAATTAACTATTTTCTAATCGATGGAATTTGAATGGCTAGCTGAGAGCTGGGGTGCTCCTGGTACCATGCCACCATCGACATACTGCTATTGCCGTTTAATATGCCATAGCTGCTGCCGGCATATGATGTTACCAATTTTGGTCATCA